TATCTTAAATCATCTTCGTCGACCTCGTTAAACCCTAACCGTCTCCGATATCATCTTCGTCGACATCCTCTTCTCCGCAAAAGTTTCGACGTAATCGTATCTACGACATCATCTTCTCATCTTCTCTGGTATGTTGTGCCTGAGTTTGATTTACGTCGTGTCTGAGTTATAGATTATGTTGTTACTGAGTTATTGTATAATGTGGCTGAGTTGAGTTTGATTTATGAAGTGGCTGAGTTATTGATTATGATCCGACTGAGTTATTGATTATGTTTTTGCTGAGTTATTGATTACTGTGGCTGAGTTATATATTATGTTGTGGCTGAGTTATTTATTATTTATGATTTGGCTGAGTTATTGATTATGTTTTGGCTGAGTTATTGATATGATGGCTGGGTTATTTATTATGTTGTTACTGAGTTTTGTTTCTATTGGGGCTGACTTATCTATATATGTGTTTTAGGATCAGATGGCTATTTCTGAAGATCAAGCACGAGATTATCCTCCACGACTTTACGCTGAAGGGGCTTCTAATCTAGAAAATAAAGAGATTAATCACAATTTGCAGATGGAAGATTTCCCTAACGTCAGAGAAGCAATAGGACAGGATGTGTGGGATCACATGAGGCAGGGTCCTCTTGGAATTATTGTGAAGCTATCTGAACGCAAAAGCGTGTGGTCTGGTAGGACTGTCCACTATCTACTATGTCGACAGCTTCGAGTATACTTGAAGGAGATTTGGAGTCTAGTTGGTGATGAACCTATCATGTTTAGCTTACTCGAATTTGGTGAGATCACTGGGTTAAACACAGATCCAGTGCCAACAGAAAGTTTTGAACATGACCAATACAAAGCGTTTTGGGAGGAGTTGAATCTGCCGCTTGGGATGGGACCCAAGTTAGATGAACTGAGGGCAACATTAGAGGCATGTTCGGCCTGGAGTTTTGAAAAGCGTAAATGGTTAGGGCTGTTACTTCTTCAATCCATGGGACTTTATGCTTTGCATCATAATTCTAGGATACCGTTTGAAAGTGCAAAAAGAGTATTCGACGATGAAGCCATGATGATGTATCCATGGGGGAGGACTGCATATGAAGTTCTTGTTGACTCTATTAAGATGTTGAATCCACAAGGAAGGACATACACCATAAGCGGTCTGAAGGACGTGTTGTTGGTTTGGGCGTATGAATCTGTCATTTGTTTTGGAGAGCGTTTTGGGAGAGTGGTCAATGAGCAAGAAGTTCCACTTTTCCGATGGGGTGGAAAGCGTACACGTTCAAGTTTTGATACTGTCATTACTGAGGAGATTAGAAAACATGGCGAGGTAAGGTGTCAACTGATTTATTATTTATTTGTTGGTTGGGTTATAAGTACTTATGTACTTAAGTGGTTGGGGTTTTTGGTATTAGTTATTTGATGGCTCAGTTAGCATGTATAAAGTGTCTGAGTTATTAGTTATTTTATGGCTGAGTTATTAGTTGTTTTATGAACACCAAAAACCCGGCCACCATATAAACAATATCTCAGCCTCTTGGTATTAGTTTTGATGGCTGAGTTAGTATGTACATAGTGGCTAGGTTTCTTGATAGTAGTTATTTGATGGCTGAGATAGTGTTTATATGGTGGCATGGTGGCTGGGTTTTTGGTACTTTGTAGCTGAGTTATTAGTACTTTGACAGCTGAGTTATTATGTATTTTGTGGCTGATTTTGTAGGTGCGCGTGAGAAAAATGGTTATGAAGAACTCCGTAGAAGAGATGTTTCCTCAGTGGCCAGATGAAGCAGATGACCCGCAACTCGTTAACTTGATAACAGACATATATGCAGGTCGGTTTGTTAGAGGTTTTTGAGGAACACAGATGAAACGCAAACAAACAAACACAAAGGTTTTTGGTGTTTCGTCAAAGGCTGAGCCACCCATTAAGAAGCAGAAGAAAGTGAGCAGCTTCCAAGACGATGAAGCTGCTGTGGAGGGAAAGGGTGCTTAGGAGAAGGAAGGTAATGATGATATTGGAGAAAATCCGATACTGGTGAAAATAATGTTTAGTCTGGAGAGAATTGTCTCAAAAATAGACAGCCACGAGAACAACTTCGAAAACTTCGACGCGCGGTTATCCAGAATCGAGTCCAGTTATACCAACATTCCTGATTTAGTCAGAGTTGCAGTGGACGAGTACTTCTCTAAAGTTCCCCAACAATCTTTAACGTTGCCAGCACCAGCACCACCGCCGCCATCGCCGCCACTGCCACCGCCGAACTTTTTTCCGCAGCAGTCAGTCAATAGTCCACCTGCTAAGGCCTCTGTCCATAGTACACCTACTAACGCCTCTGTCCATAGTACACCTGCTAAGAATTTGGGAGACACTGTTGATTTCGTTGGTATTTCTCCTGCAAAGGACCCAGCCTTAGGAAGCGGCCACAAGATAATAAGGTTTAAACAAAAAGGAAATGAGGTTAAAGAGAAGGACAAAGAGGCGGCTGAGTTAGGAAAGAAGGATGTGTCTCCTAAGAATAACTTAACGGCTGCAAGTAGGGAAGAAGAGGCTGCGTTAAAGAAGAAGGAGGCGGCTGAAAAAAAAGAGAAAAAAAGCGGCTGAGACAAAGCAACAGGCGGCTGAGACAACGCAACGGAAGGCTGACGAAAAGAAGGCGGCTGAGTTGAAGAAGAAAGAAATGGCTGAGTTACAGAAACCGGTCGCAAAAAGGACGCGTCGCGGTTTAACAACAGTAGCTGTACCTCAGCCGAACCAGATTCAAGCCGACAGTGAGCTTGCGGATATTACTGACGAATTTCTCGCAACACGAGACGAAGTGCTTCCGGAGTCTGATGTGGATGAAGAGAATAGGATCAGATCCGAAAGAATAAAAGAATATCGAGAGAAAAATGTTCAGTTTTTCTGCAAATGGGTCTGCATTGCAACTCTCTGATAATGCTCCTCCAGCACCAGTTTTTCCTCAGATTGGAGACAATGTAACGACGTGCATGAGAAATACGTTATTACCTTCACCAGCAATATATGATCCTTTAGCACCGGTTGATCCAGCAAAATGGGATAAACTTATGGAACACCTAGAGAAACATAAAGACGCTCCCACTACCTCAACAGCGGCCCATGAGGGTGAGTTCTACAGAATCATCATCACTGAAAGACCGTGGAAAGACATTAGATATGGATGGCTGCATGATGATGTAAGTATTCCTTACGGCTGAGTTATAAATTTTATGTGACTGAGTTACGTTTTTTTAAGGCTGAGTTAAGTATACTAGTTGGCTGAGTTAGTGTAATATGTGGCTGAGTTATGTGTTTTGTTACGACTGAGTTATAAATTCTATTATATTGACTTGATTTTGTGTTTTTGCGTAGCATGTTAGTGCGTTTCTGCGAATCCTCATCAAAAGGTCCATGCGAGATCCCAGCCCATTCTGGACCAAGCGCATTGCATTTATTGACATCTGGTTTCTCAGTCATTGGATTCACGATTACAAGCAGTACAAGCTCAATCCTAAGATGATGAGATTCACCGGTAATGGCCATGAAGAGTTAATAAACGGTAGGATACCCGCAGACTGTTGTACAAACTTGAAGTGGTATGAGGATGTGGATCACCTATACGGATTGCTTCCAACAGGAGGCGATCATTGGGTGGTGTTTCACGTGGATCTACTTAATGAGAAGATTGACTGCTATGATTCAATCATT